GAAGCAGTGATATTTTATTTGGTTTCATGCATCACTGAAACAGGCAGAGAGAACTAAATGGGATAGGTTAAGATGTTCTAGAATAAATTAATGCATATATGCTTGTTTTGTGCCTTCAAATTGGTTTCAATGCTGTACATCTGTCCTGAGGAGCTGAAGACTGCAACACAGCTTTTAAGATCCCTGGCTGGTCTTTAATTACACTTAAGTCAAAGATCTCAAGTTTCTTGAGACTGAATGAAGCTTAATGGTGGTATTTGAAGGTCTTTTCCAACTGCAACCATTCTATGATTAAACCCCTGGCTGTTCAGCTGTGGTCTGGGGCTGCCTTTCTGTACCTCTGGATTAAAAGCCCTGTTCCCCTTTGCTCTGCCACAGGTGTGCTGCTATTGAGTGCAGCTGACCTTCCTACTAGCCATGCTTCCCTTGCATTATTAGACTGCTGTAGCTACATCAGAGTTACCTTTTGGGCAGCCAACAGCCCACTTGTAGCATTGGGGGCACAAGCACCTGGAGGTGAGAGACCTGTAATTAGCAATAACCCAAGGCTGATGTCCAGTATGGGAGGACTGGACCAGGCACCTCACTAACCAGCAGGTGCATGGTGTCTGCCTTGATTGGGAACTAAGCTCTCAAAAGAAGTTAGCTCATGCTGCAAATGTGTCATCTGAGTGCTGCCATATCTTCTGATGTAGTTAGCAGTAGTTTCTGTTTGCCCATCTCTACTTTAATAGGCCTGGTCCTCATTATCAGATGTTGCTGTTAGTAATGTATCTTGGAAGGTTTTCTTAAACGGCTTATAAATGAAGTATCTGTATTGTAACTCAGTTTTCCCAACTGGCCCAGTTAAAAGGAGCAAGAACAATCCCTATATTGCCTTGCTTCCCTACAGAGAAAGGTGATAGAATTTCTTGTGGGTTTTAGGGAAATAGAGGAAGCCTGTTCATGATTATTGGTAAGCAAATAAATACTTCTTAGGCTCGGAGTTTGGCGGTTAAAATTTGGGCTTCTTGAATCATCCAATGGGTTTTATTCTGCTACATTATACTGTGTTCAGTAGGGGTCAGCTAGGGATGATTAGGTGCTTTGAAATACAGTGGCTTAAAACATATAAACAGGTTTGTTGCTCATTATTAATGAACTATTTGGGTCAACCTGTGAAGGAGACATTGTCTCACACTCCCCACTCCCCTACCAGGCTACTTACAACAGCATTTGGGAATTCTAAAGGGTTCTGGATGGCCTTTAGATATCTTTGAAACCTACCTGCTGCTTTTGCTGTGGATCAGCATGTTGCCACACATACAACATTTGTTTTACACATGGCTATCTGACCCTGAGAATGCCCTATTTTTGTCTGATCTTGAAAGTTAAGGAGGGTCAGGCTCAGGTCTTGTCTAAGGTTAAATGATGATCTAAGAGGACCACCAAGATCTTTTACCCGGGGCTGGACAGTTGTGAGTGACAGGGTATTTGGGACAGTATGGGCAAGTATCTGGGACAGTACTATCTCCAGTGCTTTAGAACTTCACCCCTGGAGAAGTGCAAAATCCAGAAAAAGTAGTAAAACGCTTATTTAAATGAAGCGTGCTGCCACCCTGGCAATACCAGGCAACATGCTAGGGCTTGGCCTATGCCTATGGACCCTCTCTGGAAAAAGAGTTCTCTGGATCTGATGGCAAAGTAACAGACAATGCAGCTACTCCAGCCCCAGTGGCAGACCCTGCAGCCACTCCAAACACAGTGATAGTGCAGCTAACCCGAAGGACCAACCTGTGCCAATATCAGCTGCCTCTATAAGCAAGGGGAAAAGCAAACAAGGGCCGCAAAGAGCAACTCATGCAGTGAAGAAAGATGAAGACCCAATGCACTTATTACAGTGGATGGCATCTGGAGTTATTAATACGTGAAGAGGAAGAAGTGGTAACTTCTCAATCCCAGACACCGAGCTGCAAAATAGGTGAAAAGATTTCAGCCATCTTCCAGGTGAGCACATGATCATCTGGTTGCTCTGATGTTGGGAAAATGGGGCAGATGGTCCTGAACTGGAATGTAGGGAAGCCAAGCAGCTGGGATCACTTGCTAGAGAAGGGGAATTGACAAAATGATTGCAAAAGAGAAATGAGCCCTCAGCCTCTGGAGGTGGCTCTTGGCAGCTGTGAAGGAAAAGTTTCCCTACAAGAATGATGTTATGTGTTGCTTAGCCAAGTGGACCATGATAGAGAGAGGCATCCACTCCCTGAGTGAATCAACCATTCTATCGTAGGGCAGAAGCTAGGAACTCACCTGTAGATCCAGATGAAGTTGAATGTACATGATGCATGTGGTGGAAGCTTACGTGGTATGTGCCACCATCATATGTCCACTTGTTGGCATGAATGACCTGGAGTGAGGCAGCACCACCACCAGTGGACAAAGTGAGTTGCCAGCTCCAAGAACTGGAAGACAATCTCACCCCATCCATCATTTCACCTGTGGAAAAACTGTCCCAGAAGTTCAAACAATTCAGAGATGATCTATCCAATCTACCCAGCTCCTCATGTAATCCCCACATAATCAATTGTTGGACAGTGAGAAGCAGTATGCCTTGTTTATTGATGGCTCCTGCTGTGGTGTGGGAAAGCATCAGAGATGGAAGGCAGCTGTCTGGAGTCCCTTATGACAAGTTGCAGAAACTGCTGAAGGAGAGGGTGAATCAAGTCAGTTTGCCAAGGTGAAAGCCATCCAGCTGGCCCTGGACATTGCTGAATGAGAAAAGTGGCCAGTACTTTATGTCTATACTGACTCATGGATGGTGGCAAATGCCCTGTGGGGGAGGTGCAGCAATGGAAGCAGAGCAACTGGCAACGCAGAGGTAAACCCATCTAGGCTGCTGCACTGTGGCAAGATATTACTGCCAGGGTGCAGAACCTGGTGGTGAAGGTACGCCATGGAGATGCCCATGTACCCAAGAGTCGGGCCACTGAGGAATACCAGAACAACCAACAGGTGGATAAAGTGGCTAAGATTGAAGTGGCTCAGATGGACTCAGATTGGCAGCATAAAGGTGAATTATTTTTAGCTTGCTGGGCCCATGACACCTCAGGCCATCAAGGCAGAGATACAACATAAGGTGGGCTTATGATTGAGGGGTGGGCTTAACAATAGACACTCATGGGACTGCTTTTGCTCCGGTGGCTGGATATACTTGGTGGGTAATATGGGAACATGGGGAAGTCCAGTGTGTACCACAAGGGGATTTAATTTGGGGGGGAAAACAGTCAATGAACTCATATGTTGTTGACTGCTATTTAAGTATGTACTGAAACATTAACCTTGCTCCTTTGGATTTTGATTTAGTGTCACACACAGTAAAAAGCTACTGCTGACCTCCCAGTTTTAATAATCAAAATTAAAATCACAGTATGAATTTGTCTTTAGCTAGCCACTTTAGAGAGACAAAACCAGACAACTGAGACTTCAGACAAGTGATGGAAGAGTATATCATCTGAAGAAATACATTCAAAATGGAATTAAAACATATGGATTTTGCCTTGACGGTAAATGTTTCAATAATAAGTACATCTAAGTGTCGAAAGTATGTTGAAAAAGTCCAGTTTGAAGACAAAGAGTCTTGAAGGCAAAGAGTCGTCGGTTTTGATGGTAAAGCCAGGTTTGATGGTAAACAGGTTTGATGGTAAAGAGTCAGTTTTGATGGTAAAGCCAGGTTCGATCGTAAGCAGGTTTGGTGGTAAAGCCACGTTCCATGGTAAACAGTCACGTTTGATGGTAAGCAACGAGGCTTGGTGGTAAAGAGTCAGTTTTGATGGCAAAGCCAACGTTCGATGGTAAACAGGTTTGATGGTAAAGAGTCATTCTTGATGGTAAACAGCCAGGTTCGATGGTAAACCATCAGGATTGATGGTAAAGAGTCGGTTTTGATGGTAAGAAGTAGTGGGATTTGTTGGTAGGTTTAGTTCGGGTACTGAAGGATTCCATCAGTAAGCTTTGCATCTGAAAGACAAAAGAAAGCAATGTCACTCCCTGTCATGACATTCAACGGCAAACCCTGTCTCAGTGGTTTGGTTTCTGAACGAGAAGTCTCAAGCCTGCACGCAGCTCCGTCTGCTCTGTGACTACAGGATCCGACAGACTCGAGAAGGTGGCTTCCTCACATCCAAACCGACTGCATTTTGGATCTACGCTAAGGTGGGCGAACTGTACACAGTATTAGGACAAAGCTACCTCCTTTCATAGCAAGTGGTAGGCTTAGGTAAATTTAGGTGAGGTTTTGTCTAGACAGCATCCTTGTTTTGCCAACAGTCTTGTGTTCAAGCTCACCAGATCTTACGCACTAAGCCTTCAGAAGCCTGTAGAAACTTGCTGGAGAGAATTTGTAGGAATGTAGGAAAGCAACTGCTTTAAAGCTGCTCCTTCTCCCATCCCACCTCCATTTTCCTTCAATCACACATTATCACAAGCCCTTTCCATCCTTATTAATTTACTGGGGAGTCCTGGTAAAAAGGCACAACCTAACAATTCCTTCTCAGCTGTTGTCTGTCCCTAGCCTGTTTGAGAGGTTCGTGCCTCTTTAAAAAACACACTGCTGCGGTGGCCTTTTTTGAGAGAGATTCCATTACCCAGAAATTCCTACTTGGGACCCATTTATTTAGTATTTTTAAAGACGGACGTTCCACAAGAGGAAGTTCCTTAACATCTATGGACTTGAGGAAATACTAAAATTCTGCAGACTTAAAAGACTGCTTTTCACAGCCCTCATATCCCACTTGTGTTGCAAGCAGTGGATCAAAGTGGGGTTCTATCACTGTGTTTATCGGTTAACATCTCTTACGCCTACACAGATAGCGCACTAATCGTAATGCCCCTGACCTGTGTAGTGGGGTGCAAGGCATTTAATTTCTTCCTATAAGACTTTAGATGCAACAAAGATTAGCCGTCAGACTGAATGACAGTAAGTCTTGGTTTGTACACAAATCCTTACAGGGGCTAATTTTGGAATATGTGGAATTAAAAATATGTAATTGTTGCAACCTAATCAGGAACAGTGCGCAGATGCGGTTCTGTCCTGGGTTCAGCAGGCTGGGCTTAAACCACGACAGGTTCTTCGCTTTGTGCTCCAGATCTAGCATTCTAACGCTATTCAGCAACATCCCTCCTATGTTTGCTTGACCAACCTAATGACCAGCCTAATGACCAACCCGTAGTCAGGTTATCCTATATAAATCACTTAGAGACAATGGGAAAAAGGCAGGCATGGGAAACATTCAGAAAAGAGTTAGGAAAAGAATGGCGGATTATGCTGGAATTCCTGCTTACTTGTAATCCTTCTCTTGATATTTTTCTTTGGACTTCATTTTCTTCTTGACCTCCTTATCTTTTTTCATTCTTTGGTCATCTATCTTGTGGCGTTTCTTTTCCACTTCAGCTTCGCTTCCTTCTGCGTCGCCATATTTCCTCTTGCCAAGCCTCAGTTTCTCATTTTCCCAGAAAGAGATGTCAAATTGTGCATGAGCTGAGGCAGGTGGAGGTGCGTGCCCTTCCCGAGAGTGTTTTTCCGACTGCTGCAGAGGTACTGAACAGTGACGGAAGTTCCCTCTGTGGCTACTCAAGTGATGGGCTCCTTCCTCTCTGGAGTGAGTGTTGTGAGCCCATCTGCTCTTGCAGTGATAATCCCCATGTGATTTGTAGAATCGACTCAATTTGTCAAAGGCTTTATCAAAATGAGAGGACTTCCTCTCTCTACCATCTCCTGTTCCATGAACAGAGTAATAATCCTTGTAATATCTGCATTCTTCCCATCTCCGTAATTCATCTTGGTAGTATCTTTCCCTGTTCCAAGTCCTCTCTCCTTTGGAATGGTAATACCCATTCCTGTCTTGTTCCGTTCTTTCTCTGCTTCGGGATTTATAACGAGAGTATTTTCCTGAGCTTTTGCCATTATTTGCACTGTTTCTTTCATGATGGCAAGGTCTGTACTTGCCTTCGTTGCAATAATCCTGCTTATGATGATATTGCTTATTTGTTTCCATGCTGCAAGAGCGCCTCCTTTTGTAGGAACGATCATCCGCTTTGCTCCTGCTTTGCTTCTGGTCTTTACTGTCAGAGTATTGTCTCTTCTTTCGGTAGTGCCCTTTGTCAGTTTTTTTGGAGTCCTGTACCTTCTCCTCGTATTTTTGCCTGTTATCCTCTTCGCATTTTTTATTATTCAGCCCCTCATTTTGTCTGGGGAATTGACTCTCCAGAACTTTATCCAGCTTTGTAATAGAAGAGTCATTAACAGGTGGTACCTCTACATCGTTATTAGAAATGTCCTTTGTATCTTGGCATTTATCTGTAACACCTAGACATGCAAGTTTTTTAGGACTACATTCAATGTCAGACTTCACAGAGGAAGTTTGCCATAATTTCTCTTCACTCTCGGGAGACCCTTTCATATACGAAGGATCTCCTTTTGCAATGAGTACAGGTTCTTTTGGCCTTCCTGGTTTGTCTTTGTCTCTACTTTCTTCAGACTCACAATGCCCAAGGTATTCATCTTCAGTATCCAGGGATATTTTCCTGACCTTCTGCTGACCGTTGATACTGGGATGTACGTTATCAGCATTTGTTATCACACTTTCAGCAACGTCTTCGGTAGCAATGGTTTCAGTGGTTTCAGAGTCTGATACAGTAAAAGGACTCTCAATCTCACAGCCAAGGTCGGAAAGAGGCATCCTGGATTGTTCATAGACAAACACTGTTTCCGTCACTACGGTTTCCGTAAGATGATCACCCTCAGACTTCTGAGGTGCAGGGACACTGCACAAAACAAAAACACATTTTTCACTTGAAAAAGTTCACCTAAAAGATAAATGTGAGGAGCAAAAATCCCTTGAAGTAAAAGATTTGGTGGCTACTGGTAAACTCTGTATGTTTCTAAACTCCCTTACACAGTTTGGAAACTGTAGCGTTCTAAAGGGACTCTGTAAGGCAGTCCCTTTAGAAACCGACTCTTACACATTCAGCAGTGCCCAGAGAAGATGTTTTTCTTCTCTTGAGCTTGCAAGTAGTACATTAAAACCCACACCCAACACATTTGTCTCCCTCTGCTCACTGCTCTGCATCGCATCAGTAGCCAAAACCACTACCTTCGCTCTCCCCAAACTTGAAAAAAGTCAACTCATTCATTTCCCTTCTCTCCACAAAATGGGAGGGCACGAGGTGGGAATTTACACTGGAAAAGAAATCCAATTGTAAAAAAAAGTAAAATTATCCTATGAAGAAACAGAACCATTCTGGGAGGCATCTGCTTTAATTAATATCAGAATAACACATGTTCAGTGCTGATGTCTGCAACCCTACACGGACAGTGTGGAATTTGCTGTACTGTGTAAAGCTTTCTATTAAATAGTACTAGTAGATGGGTAAAACAATGATAAACTTGTATGAAATCTTGTTTTCATCAGAGTGTACTCAATTTACCTTGTTTTCTCTGACAACCTGTTCAGGTGGCTGTAGGCCAGGGATTCTAAGACTATTTCTTGAGGAATCGGTGACTCAGCTACAGGTATCTACAATTAAAACGCAGACGTTAACAGACAAAAAAAATACTACCTTTAGAAGAAAACTGTTTTCAAAATTTCCTCATTAGTCATTAAACAAGATCACTTTGCCTTACACGCACCATTGCTATCTCACACATCACCCCTTCCCCCCCCAATATATTTATGAAACTTATGAAGTACTATCTCAGGTGAAATTTTCTGAAGTTGACATGTTCTCACATGCCAGTTCAGCTCTGCAAATTCTAATGCGGCGACAACAGCACAAAGTGTTAACGATGAAGTTTAAATTTGTGCTGTCTGTTTTCACAGTATTTCACATGACTTAGGAACATTTTAATGCTCCTGAATACTAAACACACCATAGGTGAGGAGTTCTAGATGGAACAAACAACTCACTGGTTCAAGCAATCCATTTGTTTTAGCAAAGAGTATCTCAGAAGGTTTAGCAGGTTGGACTTGGCAAGTAAAATCATCAAGTTTCAGTCCGTTTTGTTTAGATCCATTATCTAAACTAATAGCACCATTTAGTGAATCATTTTTTGGCAGCACGTGATGGGATCTCTCTTCTTCAGCACTCTCACAGAAAGAACGGGAATTCTGCAACGTGCCGACTACCTTCAATATTACAATTCCATTGGAAGATATGTTGTAATTCATTTTAAACACGCCATTCGACGCCTCAGATTTTCCTGAAGACTCTGGACCGGAAGCGACTGTAGCATCAGACCCGAGTGTAGGACTTCCATTCACTGCTGGCTCTACAAACATTTCATCAGGAACTTCCTGTTTGGAAATGTTAGCAGCAACTGCCACTGTAGATGCATTTGAGGTAGACTCTGCTCTGAGAGAATTTGTAATTGTGGAGGAAGGAACAGCCTTGCTGAGATCCTCATTCTCCAGAGCACTGGTAAGACAGTCAGGTTGTGACACAGTCTGACACTCAGGCAATTTGTTACTAATACTGATAGTGATCTTCTGGGCTTTAGATGGATCCGTAGCTGAAGGCCTGGTAATTGCCCAGTTTTGAATGCAAGCTGTTGGTGGAGCTGAAGATGGCCTTTTTATGGTGATACCAACAGGATTTGTATCCTCTTCTAGGGGTCCATTTCCATTTAAACGACTTGAATTCTGTATTTAAAAAGAAAAGATTGCAAGATGAATATGTGCAATCACACCGCACTTATTAAAACACTGAATTCTCCTACTAAATATTTCTACAAATTGCCTCACCACCTAAGAAGAAAAACACCCCACTTCCAATATAAACCTAAGTCCAACAAGTGTGTTTAATTCCTGCTGCTTTTGGTTTACTGCATCTTGGTATCAGATGAGCCTCATTTTCTGAAACCCACTCAAACAACTTAACATTGACTAAAGCTCTTCCCAAATATGTTTATTTTCCCCTTTAAACGTTCCCTGAAAACACTGCTATAATTGCTCTGGTACTCAGGACCAAGAAAATCGTTTTCACTGTCTCAGCTGAAGTAACACTGGGGGAGTGATATTTAATTATTATTATTACTACTACTATTCTTCTTATCGTCATCATCATCATCAAGAATTAATAGACTCCTCCAAGTGTCTCAAAAGCGTAGCTCTCAGTGCTTTAGAAAGCGCTTTGAGTTGGAAGTATAATGAAGTAGCATGGCTGCACAATTTGGGACTAGCTACTGTTTGAATAATTCTGGCTGTTGCATGATGGTTGTGAAGAAAGCTGCAGTGTGGGAGGGAAAACAGAATTCATCAGATGCTCTAAAACAACAAGCTACCCCCCCCGCCCCCCATCAAAAGAAAACAACATTATCAATTTGGTGCCATTATTTGCTCCCTGCAAATTACCTTAATCATACGAGGAGGAAGCCGTGCTCCCATAAATCCAGCCTGCTTACTATTAGGCCCGTGCTGACCAAGGAATGAACGGGGATAAGAAGTTGCTGGTAAGCAAAAACCACGTTCTCCAACTGTCAAATCGTGGCGCCTTGGGAAAAAAACAGTGATATCACTTTAGAGTTTTTCTTTCAACCTATTCTTGGATTAAAACCCCATCTGTAATTTTATAAGAACAGATGATGTGACACAGAAGCCACATACAAAAGACTCAACCAAGACTACACACTAAAAAAACAGACAATGGTCTCCCTACAATGACTATTCTTGTCAGAGCAACATCTCACCCTTACGCCATCTACGGTGTTATTTCTCCTCTTCGAAATTACCCCGCTACGTAGAGCGGATACAGAGCAATGTACACAAGCACACCAGTTTAAGGCCAAGCAATGAAAGACAGTAAATGACAGCGGTAAGTTCAGGTTAGACAGAAGTGAATTACAGAAACAGTAAACTTTTCCTAGGACAGAAAGAAAAACACTTGGAAAAAAAGAAAAGTATCAGTAACAGGAAAGTAAATATATTCTGAACAGATTCAGTAGTTGGTATTACCTGATATAAAAAAGTAAATAAGCTTGCTGATTGAGAACCGTTTTGATATCAGAACGCTCCACTATGGCATCATTCATTCGATACCAAAATCCATTGCCGGCCTGCAAACAAAAGACAGTGGCATCTTCAGACAAAATGCATGATGTCCAAATGACATCACAGGCGGAACGCTACAGCACGAAACGTACCAAACAAATCAAACGGAACACATCATTCAACCTTTCTCCATCAAAATGGTGGTTGCCGGTAACATTGATTTTCTTTGTTTATTTTACCCTGTTAGAAATCAAGCTGATACCCACCTTTATGAAGCAGATATAGTGTCCTGCATTGCAGCTGAAACCAGAATGAACAAGAACTGCATATAAAGAATACATGAGTGGTTCTCCCCTTGACTGGGACATATATGCTCGAAGATCCAAATATTCAGGGTATTCCACATCCTAAACACAAAACAGGAAGATTCAAAAATTACCCCGAAACACTTCATGGAACAGCCTGACAAAAACCCTTCTCAAAACACAGGCTAGGATCACACAAATATAGTCTTGATTCATTTAAAAATACCTATTCTCAGAAACAATATTTCATAATTGAAGCTGCAGAGAACTGTTTTCTGCAGAATTAACTCTAAGAGTGAGGTATACTCTTATGGTTACCGCAAGCCATAGTTGTTAGATTGACTTTTCTTAGACTATTGTTATTACACTTACAGCCTGCAAACATTAACAGCTTTTAAACCGTAGAATCACAGAATAGTTAGGGTTGGAGAGGACCTTAAGATCATCTAGTTCCAACCCCCCTGCCGTGGGCAGAGACACCTCCCACTAAACCATGCCACCCAAGGCTCTGCCCAACCTGACCTTGAACACCGTCAGGGATGGAGCATTCACAACTTCCCTGCGCAACCCATTCCAATGCCTCACCAGCCTAACAGTAAAGAATTTCTTCCTTATATCCGATCTAAACTTCCCCCGTTTAAAATGATATTTTCTTGGGGAAATCTCCCATTCCAAGAAGATAAAGCTGCTTTACAGCTGCAAATATACCTTGTTGATCTTGCCACCAGTAAAATCTGCAAATCTTTTCAGCGATACGATGAGAACTTTGGAGGAGCGATGTATTGTGCACCTCTTGGAGGCAGGAACCATGTTTTCGCACCTTAAAAACAAGCACAGGCAAATGTTTAACAGCAAATTCTTCCCCCTCCCAAAACTCAAACAAGTTTTCATCTCTCGCACAGGCTTATGAACCCATATGCTGCACTTCACGTTTGTTAATAGACAGAAGGTAGCAGCACGTAAGCGGACAGCTCTACAAAACAAAGGACTTAGAACATTATCCTTTCACACGGAACACTAGGACCTTCAGCCAGCTGATGTTGCCTCCCACCCCAAATCGTTGTCCTTAGCTCTGTGCTTCAGCTCACCACTACTTAGCAGACATCCCCTTTAACTTCTGGCCAGACGAATATTTCTGTGTGCAACCTCACACTGACGAAGGCTAATAAACCCCAGCGCAGGCAGCAGTAGGAATAAAAGTCTAATATGAGCTAATGGCCACAATTCTTCTATTTCCAAATATTCATGTGACACATTAAACGCCTTCTCTTGGACTCAGATGGAGTTAGTAGGAATCTTACTTGCTACACTTATAGCTGTTTTCTCCGTCCAGTCGTTCAGGTGTCACAAATTGTTTCAGAGCCGCGGTGAGAGACGTAACGGTCTGGATGAATAAGAAGGTAGAGCACTAGGTCACTGGAAATGCAAAATTTCAAACACTTCCTGGTATAACTACGAGAGAACCTTGCTAGTTCATCCTCAAGTGACCTACTGTCAACCGGCAACCACTGTGAAGGAGGCAGAAACCTCAGAGTACGCTGAGCATTTACCTCCTGTGGAAATGATGCTACTTTGAAATAAAAAGATAAAGTTTGCAGTGCCACAGACACCATCTGTACTATGCTACGGCATCAATAATGAGAACAAGCAAACCCATCAGCCTAACGATAGATTTATAGATGCTGAAGCAGAATAACAGAGAAGTGTGAGGGTATAGGTGTTTGTGTAGATGTAATTACTGTTTTTACAGGTTAAACCCACTGCAAACATGGAGAGCATATAGATGCATTCCACACAAGACCAAAGCCCAATCCACTCCCACTCAACACCAAGCTCTTTCCTTTTAGCAGTGTATATTTTTAAGTAAAATGCCTTTATCTGGAAAGCTCTACAGGTCCTTATGCAGCTCGAGCCGTATTCACAAAACACCTTACCTCTATATCCAGAGTAATACTGAGGAATGGCTCGTGCCTGTCCGAAACGGCTTTGCAGTTCAAGCATTTTACTGGAATCAGAATACAAATGCTTAACACGGACTGGACAAATTTAGAGTCTTCATACATTTTACTTTAGTCAAAGCACAAAGTCCTTTACTACAGACAAACAGACACAGACCAGTTCAAAGGACGGGAAGAATTGTAACAAGTACCTTGGGATCTTAGGTATCCTCCAAATATTTGATAAATAAGTGTAGTGCCTTGAGAAGATGTGTCCCATCTGGAAAGAAATGATAAATCAGGCCTCAGATGATACGAGGCTCAGAGTTAACTCTTCAAACAGTTTTTACCAAGGACAGTCATTTTAATGTAGTATAGTAAAGAAAGGAGTAAAAGGGGCTAGAGAACATCTAAGGGTTAAATAATTCGTTTATGCGTACGTGGTGCTTCCATTCAAGCAAGCTTTCTGCAAAGCATCAACAGTGAAGGACAAGAATTCATGTGCATCCTCTTGACTGCCGTAACAGAAATGTTCTCCTATACCTAATAAATAAGAAGGTGGTTATATTTATCTCCTAGAAAATGAAAGAAAACTCACGTTTCTAAAAGTATCAAAATCATTTCTATGCATCAGAGAGTGCTTTGAAGTTACCATATATATCAAAAGAAAACCATCTGAAATGACTTACTTTTAAGGCCATTGATAACAGATATAGGTTTGATAGCATTATTAGAGAAACACAGGGCCTGGTTAATGTGAGCTTCCAATGTACACATCATACAGAAGCCTTTTTCGTGACCTGAAGAGTGAAAGAAGCAACACAGTCTAGTCAAATAAGCATTGCTACCAAAAAAAGAACAAAACCAAAAAACAATAGCCACGAAAAACACTACTGATATTGATGACACAGCGCTAAGAGAGAATGCGTGCGATTTTCAGCATATTGCTGTTAGGTGAGCTACATGACACAGAGCTAAGAATCCTCTGGGAGAAAGGAAAGGTTAAAGGAAGGTATGTATAAGTATTTCTGCCCTCCTTTTTGCAACAGGGTTCTTAACTGGAAGCATTTTTATCTATGTCAAAAAAACCCACAGTTAAATTTCTAGGAATAAACACTAAGATGCCAAACCAAAAAGCATGCATGTACCTTTGTCAAAATAGACCTAGAAGGATATGAAAAGAGGCTCCTATGCCAAATCAGTTCAAGCATAGAATGGAAATGTGAAGAACACAAATTCAAAGGCTTAAAAAATACAAACTTTTAACTAGAATAAAACCAGTCTAAATTTTAATACTGCCCCACACAAATTTCCATTTCAGGTCAGCAGAAATTAGCTCATAGTGCTTTCTAGGGTGTGGGCTTTTTTAATGGGTCAGTAGTGAACATGTCATTTATTGCAGTACTAGCACATGACGCTATCTAGGCTGCAGAGACGAAGACGCTACGATGCCAACATCCTACATTTTACCACCTTTCTACCAGCAGGAAACACAAATGCCAAATGTTCGTCAAATGCCTTCCTCTACAACGTACTTCGCTAGTCACCCAAAGCAAGAAATGCTCTTTATTTGCAACTTTGCCATTGGGCATTAAATGAACAAATGCACTTTATATGCCATTCCGAGCTTCCTGTTAAATAAGCATGGAATCACAGAATCATTTATGTTGAAAAAGACCACGAAGATGGCTTTCAAAGCCAGCTTCGACAGGTAAAACGGGAAAGCCACGCATTTTCTCCACAGAATCACTCTTGTTCTTTCACCTTTGCAGCTGCCCAACGTATTTATAATCATGTTAGAAAGTACTCACATGACTTGCTGTGCTCAAGAGACAGCATGTAATTGGCCAGAGGAGGTGTGTACGTCAAACACTGCAGAGTAGCATTAAGGTAACACGTATTGCCCAGATTCCGCAGTCCAACTCCAACGTTCAGTGGCTGTTGCCAATCCATGCAGATTTTCTCAGGTGGAAAAAGAATTTTACGTGGTGGGGCAATTCCATCGTTAACGACTGCAAGAAAATCAGATTTCAAAAAATAGTTACTGTTTCTCTTTGAAAAAGCATGTTTAAAAGGGAGCATTCTGCAGGAGGACCCAGAAGAACCAGGTCTGCTCCACAACGCAAAACAACATGATGAACAGATTGTAAGAACTAGGATGGAACAGTAAGCCAGTAACCAGCGGAGCAGGTAACCCTACGGATACCAGACCTCTTCCTGAGCAGGGTTAGCATTCAAAGGCTTGTGAATAATGGAAGCCATAAACACAAAGGTAAAATGTACTTTTCTCTGCACAGCACAGAAGACCTGGCTAAGTCTGTGTATTATAAAAACCTCCTCAAACCCATTGTTGCAAGTAGGTTTTTAAAGATAAAACTACAGGTTTTCCAATACCAGTCCCTTCAGTTGCCTTAGGGGACTCACAAAATTGCAGCCTAGTGCTGAAGGCTTTATTCATCATCTTGTATCAGTGCAACAAATGAGAACTGCGTTTTCTAACTTTTGGGTATTTTGTTCTGAAGAAAGGAGGGGAAGGACAGAAGACACACTAACTTTGCTCTTCCTGGCCAAAAGGCTTAGGTTTTTCAGAGGCTCTAGAATACACAGAACCTGTCGGTACTTTCTCTGCATCTTCCTCAGGTTGTGACAGCTTTTTAAATATTGAAGATATTCCCTTTAAAGTCATTGTTCGTATCTGTAACAGAGGTAAAAGTTCTGGTTGACTTAAGACTATCAAGAAGCATTCCAGAAGGAAATTCTGTCACTCAGCATCAAAGAAATAACTTGAAGAACTAAATAGCTGGTAAGAAATATGAAAAAAAAAAAACAAACGACAACAACCAAACTAAAACCCCCACTCACAAAACTGCCGTTAAGTGCGATTACACATTTGTCTCATGACAAAACAAACATTGGCAGCGGTGTCTGTAAAACAATAACATACACAAAAACACCTACGTAGAAATAAGGAGCAATACAAAACTACTACTACTGTAGTAGACATGAAGACATGAAAGCACTTCTATGTCTCTAAATTGCAAACGACACTTCCACAATGCAACACTACCGTAAGAAAAAGATACCCAAACTAAGCCAACAACAAAAAAATAAAACCAACACCCCCCCCCCCCAAAAAAAAAAACCAAAACCAAAACCCGACCGTATACACACACACAAATTCGAAATAAGGAACAACCCGAACACACACACACAAACCCATACACACACGCCACGCTTGTTTACTTTCATCAAAAATAATCCAGCTGCCAACCCAGGAAACCCGCAGTTAATTATCACTTTAACCTTACCTGGAAGCAAAGGGGTCCGAGTTTGTCAGCTCCGGGGTCGGGGTCTGTGTCCGTCCCGGGACCGTGGTCTCCGTCCGCCCAGGGGCTTCTCTGCTCTCCCAAGGCGCGGCTGCCCAGTGTTTCACCGGGGTCTGAGGGTCTGCTTCTCCCGGGTCGCAAGAGAAGCTCTCGAAGCCGGTTAACGTCATAGTAGCAGTTCCAGATGGAACCGTCCGGCCTTCCGTCACCAGCGCTAAGCCTGAAGCACCTACCCGCTCACCCCCCGCTCTGCCTTTCCGACAGGTTTTGGTTCCTAAGAGCAGTTTGGCACCGCCGCTCTCACGGACCGGCGCGGCACGCAGCATGTCCGCGCTTGGGAGCGGCAAGAGCCCAAACACAGCCAAACCAAAGAGACCCTGACGCGGAAGGCGAGGGCAGAGCGCGGCTCCGAGGGATCCCTCGCTTCACCTCACCTCGCCTCGCCTCGCCTCGCCCTACCCGCTCCACCTCACGCTACGACCCAGCCCCGCTCGGCACTTCCCACCCGCGGCAACCACTGCGCTGGGACAGCCTCAGCGCCGCCCCGCCCCGCCTCGGTGCCCTCAACCCCTCCCCAGCTGTCGCTTTCCGGGCTCGCAGCTCCAGGACCGTCCGGAAGCCGGAGCGCAGCAGCGGGCGGCCTGGGGCGGCTCTGTGCTCATGGCAACTAACGGACGGGACGTGAGGACGGCGAGAATCCAAGCGTTCGATTCCCCGCGGGAGGCCCCAGGCCCCGCGAGGAGCCGCCGCCTCCTCGCCAAGCAAGGAACAACGCCGCTCGTGCCGCGGGAGCTGGGGTTTTACCGCGATGCTTTTCTACTCCCAGTGCACGTACTGTTCTTAAGGGAAAGCCCCTAGTTCCATGCTGGACGCACAGGGTGGCTTTTTTGGACTGCTTCCGGTAGCAGGCAGTTTTTCACAAACTTGTTGAACCTGAGCCGTGCCTGCTGTGCCAGTGACCTCTTTGGAGACCCAGTGCTTTATCAAAGCAATTTTGCTTGGTGGAGTTGCAGAGCAGCTCGGCATACAGCACAGGGAAACGTGCCGTCCTGGCAAAGCCACAGACTTACCAAGGCGATGGGTTTGAAATCCCCTTTTGACTGTCAAGGCGAGGCTGGTTGGTTGTTCCAGTCTTGCTGATGTGCCCTGTTTTGCATGGGGTGTCATCCTGCCAGCGTTCTGCTTTATTGCATGTTTGCGATAAAGGCTGAGAGGAAAAGAACAAAGTAAACGTTTCTACACCTCAGATTTTCCCCAGAGCGTGTGGAATTGTGGTCTGCTTGGATGCCTGTTCAGATACAAGTACTTTCAAGGGAGTGAAACTCAACCAGCGGAGGTACAATCCTTGAACAAGTGTCGGCGTGGAGATACCTTTGCTTAATGGAACACATTTAAACTCTTTCTAGAAATGATATGGAGTCGCATGTCCTGCGTTTGCAAAGCAGCGTGATCTCAGAGCTGCTCACTTCACCTGTTTCGAGTCTTCTGTTCCGCAACTTCAGGTTTTGTTTTTGAGCAATGCGTACATCAGTTTGAGCTCTGTACAAGTAGAGCTGTAATGCAAATAAGCCAGAATCAGTGGTACCAAGAAGTGCAAGGGTGTGAAAAGCAGCCAATAAAGTATTTCTGGAGAAATGTGAGATTACAAAAGCATTCGTAAGCCATGAAGCACTTTCGTATCAGTTCTTCCCTTCTGAAAATCTGTTTATTTAACCGGGTGAGGATGCCTGCCCAGAAGCATGAAGGAAATGCCTTGGGAGTTAATTTGCTGTATTTAGATGAAGTTCTTCTATCCGGCAGGAATAACTATTGAGAGTAATGTATAACTAAGGCTATTGTAGCAGGAAATGTAGTATTTCTTAGCATTAAAAAGATGCGACATCCTAATCAGCTATTTGTGGTGCTCAGTGAATCTCTTTTAATTTACCAAAGCTAACGGAACAATGTTCTTGTGTGTGATGATACTTCATTCCGAATGTTCTTTGTAAGAGGATTAAGAGGGAGTGAAACTGGCCCAAACTTTCCACTGTTCACAAGGCCAGTAAAACAAAGTGGCTTGTGAAAATATCAGGCAAGTAGGTACTACCCATGCGGGCAAAGAAAAAAAACTCTCAACCTTTTTTTTTCCCTTTTACTATTGGGCTTTAAGTCCAGGGGTAGCTACTCAGACAGACTGGCTGCTCAGTGGCCTAAAGCAGCACCTGTCAGAGGCTGGCCGTGCTGAGGAAAAGCCCTCTGGGGACGACAAACTTCTCCCTTCCTGTTGCACTGAAACGCGTGCAGTTCTTCTGCTCCTGGTTTTCAGTGCTGCCCTTTGCAGCTGCAGGGGCCAGCCAGAGCCAGGCAGGTGGCTTCGCTCAGCATCTGAACTGTGTGGCTGCTTCCATCAGCCACGGTGCCAGTGCAGTGCAGGCAGAGAAGTGCACGGGAAACTTCAGCTCAGCCGGACTGACTTAAAACTGACACTATTCTGACCAAATAAGCTTTACGTTGCTTCACATTTTGAACCGGTTTAAACTGGTACAAAACAGAACCTCTGTCAACTGAGCAGCATTTATAATGCTTTCTAGTGTTTGAAAACAATGCCTATTTTTAAGATGTAGTACATACCTCTGTAGATACGCTGGCTGGAAAAGCTAGGTCTCTTGTAGACCAAATCCTACAAACTAAGACTTTTGGCTTACAAATTCCTTTTCTGTATTTTCTTGTAAAATGTTTCTAGCTACAGTTTGAATAGAAAATGTGCTGATTTAGTTAAGAGGTTAAGATCTGATTTTGCAACTGCTCTTGTAAGTAAAAGGCCTCTTTGCCTACCTTTAAGCACACTGATTTAAATTGACAGGTTGAATTTTTCAGAGAGAAAACTCCTCAGCTGCAAAATCGGTTGTTTTTGTAAGGCTGAACACTCATAGCTGTGCTGCTATGAATGTTACTCCATTAAAAGCTGGTTTCTCACCCTGAATTAAGGAGGGATTTTGCCCATTGCCTTCCATGAGCTTCAGTCAAATATAAGGCAAGTGGGGGAACAACTCAGATCTCTTCTCCTCAAGTCGATTCATTAGACCAGACAGATTAGTCACATGAACTGTATTTCACAGAGGTTCCCACTCACTGGTCTCCTGATGCAGGACCAGTGACTATGAAGTGCATCACAGTTTGACAGCATTTAATAATCAAAATTAAAATCACAGTATGAATTTGTCTTTAGCTAGCCACTTTAGGGAGACAAAACCAGACAACTGAGACTTCAGACAAGTGACGGTATATTAAGAAAATGGAATTAAAACATATGGATTTTGCCTTGACGGTAAATGTTTCAATAATAAATTCTAAGTTTCGATAGTATCGATAAAGTCCAGTTTGAAGACAAAGAGTCTTGAAGGCAAAGAGTCGTCGGTTTTGATGGTAAAGCCAGGTTTGATGGTAAACAGGTTTGATGGTAAAGAGTCAGTTTTGATGGTAAAGCCAGGTTCGATCGTAAGCAGGTTTGGTGGTAAAGCCACGTTCCATGGTAAACAGTCACGTTTGATGGTAAGCAACGAGGCTTGGTGGTAAAGAGTCAGTTTTGATGGCAAAGCCAACGTTCGATGGTAAACAGGTTTGATGGTAAAGAGTCATTCTTGATGGTAAACAGCCAGGTTCGATGGTAAACCATCAGGATTGATGGTAAAGAGTCGGTTTTGATGGTAAGAAGTAGTGGGATTTGTTGGTAGGTTTAGTTCGGGTACTGAAGGATTCCATCAGTAAGCTTTGCATCTGAAAGACAAAAGAAAGCAATGTCACTCCCTGTCATGACATTCAACGGCAAACCCTGTCTCAGTGGTTTGGTTTCTGAACGAGAAGTCTCAAGCCTGCACGCAGCTCCGTCTGCTCTGTGACTACAGGATCCGACAGACTCGAGAAGGTGGCTTCCTCACATCCAAACCGACTGCATTTTGGATCTACGCTAAGGTGGGCGAACTGTACACAGTATTAGGACAAAGCTACCTCCTTTCATAGCAAGTGGTAGGCTTAGGTAAATTTAGGTGAGGTTTTGTCTAGACAGCATCCTTGTTTTGCCAACAGTCTTGTGTTCAAGCTCACCAGATCTTACGCACTAAGCCTTCAGAAGCCTGTAGAAACTTGCTGGAGAGAATTTGTAGGAATGTAGGAAAGCAACTGCTTTAAAGCTGCTCCTTCTCCCATCCCACCTCCATTTTCCTTCAATCACACATTATCACAAGCCCTTTCCATCCTTATTAATTTACTGGGGAGTCCTGGTGAAAAGGACCTAAACCTAACAATTCCTTCTCAGCTGTTGTCTGTCCCTAGCCTGTTTGAGAGGTTCGTGCCTCTTTAAAAAACACACTGCTGCGGTGGC